GTGTCAAAATAGTGATCTTTATTACATACTTCAAAAGAAGCACGGGAAGACAGAACATACAACACAAAGCACAACAACGATCTTCTTCGGGCGGAAGCCCCTTCTCAGTTATATTATCCTGATGACGTCACACAGTTAGACCTTACTGGAAATGATAACAGTTTGGGCCTGTTCAGAGAGTTTACCTAATATGGACATCAACTGCTAGTTTTTAGAGAAAAACAAGTGTGTATTACATTTGTGCCTTTTGTGAAAGTATATCTATCAGAAAACTGTCCTCAGACGACCCTCCTATTCTTACTAAGTGTGTGTGTAAATGTGCATGTGTTATATAAGAGCGTGCAAGTTCTCTAACGGCCTGCGTACGTGCAGAACTGAACATAGAACTAAAGCAGGGTCCAGCAGGACCCACAGGCTTCTAAGTGGTTACAGAACTGTGAAACAGCTTTAAACAAATATCGAGTATAATACAGAACAACAATGGACTGATTAAAGTACTGATAATCTGTGTAGATTAATAATCTAGTCAGAGTAACCTATATGTGGTTCAAACATTATTCTGTCAACTGGTTCAACAATGGTAAATGATTAATCAATGATGGTTATGATTATAAACTGTCATCAGAAGAATACAAAATAAAATATCTCTTTTCCACACTCCTCCTCTTTGGCCATCGGCCAACCTTTACCCCATATTGTGTCACTCCTCCGTCCAGGCGGCTTCCCTCAAAGGCATCATATACCCTGGACCAGCTGAAGTAGCTGAACCAGAGTCTAGGGCTCTGCTTACCAATTTTACCAATATCCGCCTTACCAGAGGAATGAGACAACATCCGATCATCAATATGCCTAGAAAAACTACAAGAGAAAACATTGCAGACATAAACACTCCACGCCATTGCCCAAAAGTCGAAGTGATCCAGTCTCCTAGCCCCGTATCCACGCCAGATTGCTCATGCATAGTTTTAGATAAAGTTTTCAGACTCTCCAGCGCCCTGGTGACCGTCCCATCGGGGGCAGTGTTGTTGGGAATGAAAGTACAACAAAAATCGCCGAACATCGCGCAAACGCCCCCCTTCTCAGCTAATAGCATGTCTAGCGCCATTCGATTTTGGATTCCCATCAGCGACGTCGGACCTAATTGCTCCGCAAGGCCTTCCACTGCGTCCCTAGTGAGATTAGAGAGTCTCAACACATTATAATGAACATAGTTAATGCGATCACCCTTTTATTTGGAGTTACCCACAAAAACACACTTTCAAAGCCGGCCGCTATTTGATTAACTAACTTATACTCATCTGGAACTCCCCTGGGAACTCCTATTGAGTCAATCCAGGTAGGCGAGTCCCATCGTGGATCATACCTGTGCATTCCTCCTGTGCTTCTTCTTTGTCTGGCTGTCGTCGACGCATTCGTGCCCCGCTGTAAAACTGTCCCCTGTCTACTTCCCATAAGCATCAACGGTGCACCTAAGCGCACCAAAGCACATGTTCCTACACTCCCCAAGGGAACCTGTACTAAAAGAGTGTATTGCCCACAATAATAATATAGACCACCCCTGGCCCAGGTGCCTATAATTGTGCTTGGGTCACTTACATTATTGGTAGTTCTGCCTGGAATCGTCCTCTGACACCAGCTTGGATCAATTCTCCCTACCGTATACTTCACTCTGTTGGTAGAGAACTCAAAACATGTATAATTATCTCTTTTAGGTGTGAATGAGCCTGGTACTGTACGTTTATCAATTGGCGGATATAAACCTGACAAAGTAGTGCAGTTACCTGTGTTCGCTGCCTCTCTAGTTAATCTCAGGATACAATCATAACCCCACTTATCCTCTGGATACAGAGGAGCGGGTTCAGTAAACAAACGAGGTCTAGCGGTAGCACAAGCAACACAATCAACCACTTCTTGCTCTTTAGCATTCTGAGCCACCCAATCTAACCAAAGATTCCTATCACCAAAACCTGTGGCGCGCTCTATTAACTCTTGAGGTTTTAATCTAGTGTAATCAGTGGCAACAAACCATTTCTCCTCTGAGACCTTGTAAGTAACTGTCTCTAAGGGATCCACTTGGTCTCTGTGATTCTCTACCGAATCATCCCCAATCAATTGAGATCTGGGATTGAATAAGTTCACCCGAATTAACCCATAGGGATCTGTCCCTGTTTTATCTACCCCTATGACTAGATAAAATGCACCTCCTTCAAACCCTGATTCCAGGAGCTCGCTCCATGGTCCTAGGGAAAGAGTGATAGGGTTATTTGCAACAGAAAAATCTCTCTGAATGGCTATCCCTTCAAGGGCCTCTGGCACTGTTGGCTGCCATCCTACTCCTGTCCACGCCACTACATCCTCCCAAGAACACCACTGATCCGTTATATAAGTATAAACACCTCCTTCTACGTCTGGGCCCCACACCGACTTTCGGAAGCACACCATTGGGTGATAACAAACCCACACAGCATAGCTTCTCCACCTGCTACCGTCTCCTGAACATTTAATTACCTCACACAAGTCGAATGTGAACGCCGTTGTAGAGCCATTAACATACCCAAACTCCACACCGCCATTGGCTTTAAGACATTCATCGCTCCCACCTGAACCAACCGCCCGCTCGAAGCGTGTGGATCGACCTCGGCGTCTGGGCAATTCACCTGTCTGCCAAAAAATAAACAAACATATTATAACACTTATCACTGCCAACACCCCCGTTAATTTCCAATTTTCCCACAACTTCATGGTCAGAGTTCCCAGGCTCTTTTTACTTTTACTTTAAGCTTTGTAACAAAAATATGAGGTTATAAGAATGAGAGTATAAACTTCTGAGTATGAAAATATGTGGTTAACATACAAAACTATTATGATTCCTTTAAACTATCAAATATTTCAGACTAGAGCCCTAGCCTATTAGGAGCCTGGAATCAATTACTGCTTGGCGTGTGTCGCTCCTCTTCTTTCTTCACCTCACCCTAGGTTAGACTACTAGGGAGGATCGTGGCACAGGGGGAGAGGATTATTCTGCCTCTATGTTCCCCCCTGTGTTTGTTGGGGTGGAGCTTAGCTCCAGCAGGCTCTCGTCCACGACTGCACACTGAGACCAATGAAACCAGGTCTCCCCTTTGCCCTTTAAACGGACGGCACTGGTGGTACGGGCAATCACTTCGAATGGTCCAGTCCACCTCGGGTCTCGCCACTTCCGCTTAATGACCTTCAGCCACACCGCCTTGGCGTCGGGGACGGATTGGTCCTCTGCTTTCACCCCCTCTCCAACCTGTTGTTTGAAACTAGACACAAGAGCTTTTAATTCTTTCCAACATTCAATATGTTTTCTGTTACTCTTTATACTTTCTTCCGCCGGGACTGTTGTCCAAGGACCTGGAAACTGTCGTCCTGTCAACAGCTCATATGGTGTGAAACCTGTGGATTGGTTAACACAACGTCTTATTATCATCAGTGCAATGGGCAGGGCTGCCACCCAATTTAGCCCCGTCTGAGCAGAAATTTTAGCAATCTTATTCTTCAGGTTTAGGTTCATTCTTTCTACCTTTCCCTGCGACTGGGGATGATATACAGTGCCAAATCTATGTTGTAACCCCAGCTTCTGCTCTACTTCTGCCAAATCTTTATTTTTGAAATGAGTCCCATTGTCTGACCTAATTCTCTTAGGGAAACCATGCCGGGGAATGTAATGATTGATTAAACACTTAATCACACTTTTTGCATCCTCCCTCTTTGTTGGCCATGCTTCTGGCCATCCTGTCAAAGCATCCACACTTACCAGTAGATATCGAACTCCTCCTGGTCCCACATCGATCATGTCAGTGAAATCAATGACAATCTCTTCCCCTGGTCTTTCTGGAATGGGGAACTTACCTGCCTCTGGTTTGATCACTGGCTTTGGATTGTTCCTCCCACAGATCAAACACGTCCTGGCTTTTTCCTTAATCATATCCCTCAAAAAGGGATGCCACCAATGGCACAGATGTCTTCCCATCTGGGCCACACCTACATGACCAAGCCCATGCGCTTCGGCAATCTTCTGTTTTGCCAGTTTGGCCGTCAACACTGGTCATCCGTCAGGTCCTCGCCAGAGACCTCCTTCTTCCCAGGCTCCTCGACTCTTCCAGATCCCCTTCTCTTCTGGGGCCGCCTCCTCTTGAGCCTTCCTGGCTTCCTCTAACATGTTGACTCCTTGTTCTTCTTCCACAGTTATTTGCACCATCTGTCGTAGTGCTTTGTAGCCTGCTGCCTCTTTCGCTGCTCGATCAGCTTCCTGATTTCCTCTGGCCACCATGCCTGTCCCTGAGGAGTGACCTTTACATTTTATGATACTCACCTCCTCTGGATCTCCCAAGGCCTGCTCAAGTTCCTCCATTTCCTTTTTGTGACAGATTGGTGCATTCTCAGCTGTCCTGAATCCGGCTCTCCTCCATTGAGCCAGTTCCACATGCGCTGCTCCAAAGGCCTAAGCTGAGTCCGTGTAAATGTTGACTCTTTTTCCTTTTGCAAGTCTTAGTGCTCGACTTAGAGCAATCACTTCTGCTCTTTGGGCTGACTGCTGCCCTTCAAGTCTTCCAGCCTCCTTCACTTCAAATTCGGCCTCTTTTCTGCAAACTACCGCGTAGCCTGCTTTCAATCCTTCTTCATCTCTGTAGCAGCATCCATCAGTGAACCAATCTTCAGCTCCTGTCAGAGGTTCTGCTTTCAAGTCTTCTCCTATCTTCTCGTCCACTTCAGCTCTCTTTGTGCAATCGTGGGGTTCTCCTGCTCCTCCCATTAAATCTGCCATGTTAATCCCTTCATGTGTGAAGGTCAAGTTAGGAGCCTCTAAAACTTTACAGACTCTCTGCTGTGTAAGTGGTGTCATGGTGAAGGCTTGTGAGTTAACATATGCCACCACACCATGAGTGGTCAGCACCTTCAATGGATGGTCCCTGACTACATGTGCTGTCTTTTGTATAATCTTTGACACCCCAATGGCATGCTGAGTGCATCCCGGATGCCTTGACTCTAATGGATTCAGTCTGATGCTGACGTACATCAGTACATCTCTCCTTCCTCCTTTTTTCTGAAACAACACCCCATTAACTATCCCGTGTGTTTCTGAAACATCAAGATAGAAGGGTTCATCATAATTAGGAATGGCAAGATCAGCCGACCTTGACAAGTCCTGTTTCAATGCGATAAACGCCGACTCAGTGGCGGATGTCCATGGCAGCTCAGCCTTTAAGTTTCAGACACCTACCGTTTTCACCAAATCCCTCAAAAGGGCTGTTTTTCCTGCATAATTTGGAATGAAGTGACGGCTGTATCCTGTCAACCCTAAGAATGAGAGCAACTCCTTAACCGTACGCGGTTTTGGATGTGTCAAAATCTGATCACGATGGGTGTTTAGCAAACCCACTGATATGTGAGCAATGACTCGGCCCAGAAATGTTACTTCTGGTCGGACCAACTGTAACTTGTCTTTACTGACTTTGAACCCGCACTCCGCGAGTCTCTTCAGTATGGTGAGTGAGGCTGCTGTACATGCCGACGCCGACGGAGCCGCAATGAGCAAATCATCAACATACTGCACCAGTGAACATCCCTCTGGTAGGTGGCATGGCGCTAAAGCTTCTTTCAACACTTGGTTGAAAATGCCAGGGGAGAGTGCAAAGCCTTGTGGCAACCGTGTGTATCTGTATTGTTGCCCCCTATATGTGAATGAAAAAGCGTCCCTCAGAGACTCATGTAACGGGAGACAGAAAAACGCATTCGCTAGATCAATACATGTAAACCACTTCTGGTCTGGTGTTAATGCCGTCAGTGCTGTGTATGGATTTGGGACAGGTACTGTGTCAGTACGCAAAATGGCATTAATAGCTCTTAAGTCATGTGCCATTCTGTACTTTCCTGTCCCGTGCTTCTCTACTGGCAAAATAGGAGTGTTCCAGTAGGACTGAGAGGGCTCAAGCACCCCTACTTTCAATAGCCCTTCAATAGTTTCTGCAATTCCTTCCTCAGCTTCCCTTTTTTGCCTGTACTGCGGTTTCCAAATTGGCATTTGCGACTTCAGCTGGAACAAAACAGGCGAACAAGTTGCCAGGCCCACATCAGTAGGCCCTGAAGACCACAAGGTGTCAGGAAGAGTCGCAAGTGCGGCAACTGCATCCGCATGGTCTATTCTTTCTCTTCCATGGATTCTTGAGATTTGTTGATGCTCCAAAATCACAGTGTCCTCTGATTGACAAGTGATACGGTAAGTTTTGCATTTTGGCGAGTACGAAACATCTGGAATCTGAGTAGCTTGCCAGCCAGGTTCCTCAAGGGCTCTCTTGACCATTGTTCCCAGCTCTTTCGCCTGATGACCCTCATGGACCGCCAATGTAACGTGGGGCACTGAATCAGGTCCCATTTTGAACCAAGGCCGTTGCTCATCGGTTAATTTTACTGCTGCAGCGACGCCTTCAGGACCAACATAGATGTTTTGAGAGCACACAGTCCAGGTCTGACCCTCAAGGTCAGACTGGAACAGGTCCCTATAAATTTCCTCCTCGTTCCTATCATAGAAGAGTGTCACATGGAATGGATCGCGGGGGGGAGTATAGACTGCCAAGGCCATAATCCAAGGTTTCCACAACTGATATTGTCTCAGAATGTCTTCTTCCACCAACCGACCCCAGTATATATCTGCTGTAGATGGTTCACAGTCCTGCAGCAAATACTGGTTCTTTGAAGAAGTCCCCAGGCAAAGGAATTCTTTTCCTCCTTGAAGTGTCACAGTTAGTCCACCTGCTGAACACATGATAGTGGCCCCCAGTTTAATGAGCAGATCCCTGCCCATCAAATTCACAGGCACATGGGGAGATACCACATAGCTGTGCTTCAATGTCTGTTTTCCCAGCACCGTCAGGGCTGGATTGGTTGTTGGCAGAGTCATCGGTACCCCAGAGAAGCCCACAACACTGACCACGTGATTGGAAAACGTGGCACTGCTTGGTTTGTGTCTCAGTGTTGAATAAGTTGCTCCAGTGTCTACAAGAAAGGTCATTTCAGTACCTTCCACAGTCATCGGCAACAGAGGTTCCGCCATATCTCTGCCGCCGGATCTCTGCGGGTCCCGTCAGTACAGCTCCTCCTCTCCGCCCCAATTGGCCAGAGGATACTGAGCCACTGGCGCCATGCCTGGGTTCGGAGCTTGATGCCCCCTTGTCTGGACTGTCCTGCCTCGCGGAGTTCTTTGTCCCTGGGGTGGTGGTTGATAACTTGTTTCTGGTGACCATGGCGTAGGACAATTACGAGCCCAATGTCCTCGTCCTCCACACCTTCTGCATACATTTGGGTCCAGCATAGGTCCCCCTAGACCACGGCCCCTTGGTCCACCTCCCCTTTGCGATCCTCCACGCCCTCTCCACGGCCTAGTAACCCCCCAATTCCCCGCGGGTCTTCCTGGCCTTGATCCATTGGCAGCCCACCGGTCATCAGGGTACAGAACCGGATCCAAATCTGGCCAATCTGGCCCTTGGTCGCCCTGTAGCTGTGCCACCAGCATCTTTTTAGCTTCATCTTTGTTTTCCTTCTTCTTTTCGTTTAGTTTGGCTCTCGCCTCAGCCAATTTCAATTTCACTAACTGCCCTTGCGCATCCTCCAGCTCCTGTTTCTTCTTGCTCGCCTCGTCTCTTTCCAGCTCAAGTCGATGTATTATATGCCTCTCCCATTTTGCTGAATCCGCCACCGCAAAGTCTGGATTCTTCTGTAGATCTGCTCTCACTCGTTCTGGCAGTCCGGCTAAAACCGCACATCGGAACCACGCCCTCGGTTCTCCATCCTGCCCAGGATGCTCTCCAGTTTGGAGAATCCACTGTTCTTTGGCATGTTCTATAAATTCTCTAGGGGAATGTTCTGGGCTCCAAGAAATCCTAGGGATAGTGCCAGTATTATGTGTTGGATACTTCTCACGCACTGCATCAGAGAGAGCATTTCGCACCCTTGCATAGGGGACATCATTTGGTTGGCATGCAGTTCTTGCTATCTCTTCCACATCTGCGAGGCCTCCACCTCTGAAGGTCCTCCCACCGATAGCTCTAAAATCACCCAAGGCCATCTCCTCTCCTTCTGTTAGACTCGCTAGTCTTCTTAACCAAACCGCTCCTCCCTCCGTGATCGGGGGCAGCTGCTTCACCAGAGCCTCAAGATCTCTGATGTTATATGGGTGATAGACTGGTTCACCCCGTGGACCCGTCAATAAAGGCATTGTGAGTGGCAAATCCTCCTCTGTGTCACCCTGCCCTTCTCCGGTTTGCAATGCAACATTCTGCTTTCGATTCCTGTCAAAAATTGACGGTCTTTGACCCCTTGGTTCATCCAAAACCCTCCCAGAACGAAGCATCGTCCTTGGTAGGGTTCCCTGAAAGTTTGGGGCGAGTCCTCCCCATTCCAGATTCGACACTTCTCTAGACTTTCGCGCTTTCCTTACAGAGGCCGCCAAGTCCTTTTCCAATGCATCCAGCGTTTGTACTACAGTTTGTGGTGATGTCACGCCTTCTTCCTCCAGTTTTTTCAACATCCGTTCCAACTTCATCACACCGTCCCGGTTGTCAGATACTTTCCCCCAGACGTGGCCCTGCCACTGTTCTTTCCCACCGTTGTCAACCGTCGGCTTCTGACTGGTTTTTTGACTCCCCTTTGATGACCCCTTCTGGTATGTCAGTGAAGGTGAATCCTCCTCTGATGTCCAGGTCTCCTGGGATGAATTTTCCTGGGTGGGCTGTTGTGGTGGTGCAAATTGTTGTGGTGTCACCTGACCGGTACTTGTGGAAGCCACAGGTTGAGCTTCTCCTGCAGCTCCATCTGGGCTAAAAAGATGGAGGGATCAAGATCACCCCCCGTGTAGCACTTCCTTGTGATGTCCCAGCAGCTGGGTGGGGCTGACCTACCTGTGATCCTGCTGCTGATTGAGACGGGCCCACTCTCGTGTCCGCCTCCTCTGTGCCCCGAGCAGATGTCGATGGTGCAGGATTCTCCTGTACGTCCAGAAGTCCTCCTTTAACAGTTCCTTTTTTTCCTCCCGGCCCCCAGAGGGTGCCTCCCTCCAAAGTCACCACTGGACAGATGTAAGGAGGAGGTGGGGCAGTCAGGAATTCCTTCAGGCTGGGATATAATGTCCCCCCAGCCTCCGCTTCCTTTGATGAGACTGGTTTGGTGTCTTTCACTTCCTCTTGCATCCAATGAGAAACGCCTTGAGAAACAATCATAAGCTTGCAATACTTATTCTGTTTTTCAATCATGTGTTTCTTTTCGGCCTTTAATTTTCTCCCCTGAAGACGTCCCACGGGTTCCTCATCAAGCTCTTTAATCCTCTTCTCACATTTCTCACCTTCCAGTTTAAAGACGGAATGTAGAGGAATCCTGTCCTCCAACGTCTTCTGTTGATTGTCACATAATTCCTTCACTTCTTTTTCCAAATCTTGGCATTGACGGGCAATTTCCTTTGAAGTCCCATCTTCAGTAATCTTAATTGCCTTCTTCAATTGCTGTATTTGCTCCTTCAGAGGCTTGTATTTCTTTCCCCCAGCAGGGGTCGCCTTTTCCTCTTCAGCCATTTTGTTTTTCGACCTCACTTACCTTAGCAAAATGGCCGCTCCTAGGCTCCTCCTTTTGGGGTGGCCTTAGTACACTTCCCTTTCGGCAGTCAGACTCCCACCAGCTGGTCTAAGCTCAACTTCCGTTAAGCAGCTCCAGCCGGGGAAAGAACACACACACACACACTCTCTAATCCTCCTTCACAAGAGAAACCTCACAAACTTCTGCAACAGTTTTAAGCACGCAAAGCCAGCGAAAATTCAGTCACACATTCACTCCTTAATCACTACAAAGTTTTACACACCAAAGTAAGCCACTCAATCTACCATGCACGCCGTTTCTCTCCCTATAGCGAGAGAATCAACCACTCTATAAAAACTTTATATAAGCAACATCAAAATAAAGCACAAATTTCTGCCTCTCTCCAGGCCAAGAAGGAAAGGTAACCCAACTAAAAAATCTCCCAGCAATCACACAAAGTACTCAATTTTCACCAATATCCTTAGCAGTGTCCTCCTATTTCACAGGAGATTTTCACGAGAGATCATTACACATTAGCTCCTATCAAACCATACTAACTTTAGAGAACACACTCTCACAAGATTAAGAGGTTTAATTTATTTAATATACTGAAATCTTTTAATCACACCTCTGAAACACACATTCACCCAAACTAAACTAAGAAGGGTTTAAATGGAGAAATAGAGAGAGATGAGGCCACACACACACCGCCCCTCCTTCTCCTAAGAAGAAATACACACACACACAGCCAGCGGCCACAGACACACAGCCTGCCTGAGCGCTCGCCTCGGCCCCCACCTTTTCTTCTCCTCACAGAGAAGCGCCTGCCCGCGACTTGGGAGAAAAGAAAAAGGTTTTTTTCCTCTTCTCACCCTGCAAGCAGCTTTCACAGGACAGGTGGCAGTCAATAAACAGTCAATATAAGCAACTACACACTTTATTCACACACAAGGGTAATTTACAGTCTATCTACACACGGGCCCGTATAAACGTAAGAAAAACACGACATGCCAGACCAGCTTATCTTCTCTATTTCTCTGCTGGTGTACCTAAACTTTAGACTAATTTAAAAGCCTCTATAGCCCAGGCCTCGCCTTTCTGAACAATTACACGTTTCAAGTACGCCGCCTTGAAAACGGCCTCATTAACTAAGTTCTAATTACTTTTAAAAACTGCACCCCGCCAGGTAAAAAACAAGGATCTCCACCAGCTGCGTGAAAGGCTATGAATGTCCCAGCTCACGCTTTTGGCTATACTTAAAGGTCCCAGTCCCCAACGTTAAGAAGTGACAGCTGGGTCTGCGACCCTATCAGCCAAAAATAGCGCAGTAAGAAAGTAGTCTCCGTCGACCACTTTGGTTTATTCGGGGCGCCCGAAACTCCTGACAACCAACCAAGCAAATAGCCTAACCATGCGTTCACGGTCAGGAGTCACCTGCCACAGCGCTGAGCAACTGCGCCCTTAGGGGCCACGCCCCAGTGCTAATCAAGTTTAGTTAAAATATTATAAGCATCAAAGTGAGGTCTCCACCCTCAACTTATTAATTATGTGACGCCCAAACCGCGTTTACTGCTCAATTAAACCAAATATCTTACGCTACCTCAGTTGATCTGGCTGGCACCCAGTCAACTGTACATCACTTTAAACTCTTTAAACCTTTTAAACCGTATTGACTTAAACACATAACCTAACCTCTTAACTCAACAGTTAACTTCAAATAAACAGCAAGACACTTAATCAACAATCACTATGGACAAACACCAGAAGTCTATACTGAGTGAATATTAATTAAATTTAGTTTTAACTTCAATATAGCGCCTTTGGATAAAACAACAGGTGGCACTCACCTTTCTTAATTCGCCTGGCGTCACTCAGATAGCTGCTGGTCTTTGCCCTCTTGGCACCTTCAAACCTGAAGCCAGCCGCACGCAACCGTCCTCTCTCCTCCTTTCCACCGAGGTTTCGGCACCAAAAATTGTTGTGGTTCGGTCGTTTTGGATCAGAGAAGAAACGCAGGCTGCATCCAGTTTAAGGTGTTGTTAAGGTTCAAATATTGAGGAAGGAGAGTACAAACAACCATTGGTCCAGAAGTTCTTGGTCAAACAATGATCTTTAATGGACACACATGTGGGAAGAACACTCTGTACGCAGACAGCAAGTGGTCTTCAACTTCCTCAAAGCATAACAGATATTTTATACCATCAGGGCTTAAATTTACTGACGCCCCTTCATGCGTCACAGATACATTTTATACATACGTCAGATCAACACCACAAAGACCTTTTAACACAGTTTTTAAAAGAACATCGTCTTCCATCTTCATAACAGGTGCATCCT